TCAGCCTGTCCTCATAGCAGAGGTGTTCTAGCTGTCTTGGTTGTTTTTTTGGCCTTCCTGTGGACCTGCTCCAACAGGTCCGTGACTTTCTTGTACTGAGCATCTCGTAGTCAGCAGCACTGGTATATGACAAAGAGCCAGGAGCATGAGAGTGGATGTCTGTTGCCTGTCTATGGATAGGAAGAACTGCATCAGTACCAGTAAAAGGGTCTAATGTCCATGTCTTGGCCTGAATCCAGTTCACGCTGGATCTTAATGGTTTTCTTTGGTTAGATGACGTTGTTGGTCTTTGTCTAGTCGATGAGCAGCTATTCAACTGTCCTGAGGTAGGTATTAGCGGAAAAACCTAGTGTCGATAGTGGAAATGGATGTAACTGCTCTCTGCCACTTAAAGGACAGAATTTGACAAAAGGAGGCTTTTCAGAATTCAATTAAACCCAAGTTCTTGAGATAATCAGAAGTGTCCCGTACCATGTTTTAGGTGGTCGTTCTTCCGAGAACGGAATGACCAACACAGGCGGGTAGGTTGTGTGGAACAGCTCTGGGATGTCTTTAATGTTTGGGTGCTGGGGGTGGGTGTGGATGTGTGGTTTTTGAGTTGTTTTTTTTTCTTTTTCCTTTCTGAGCAATTCCTTGAGACGAAGTGGAAACTCTGAAGCTCAGGATATGACGTAACCAGGAGTCATACTAAATTGGTGTTGCTCAGCTATCAGGAATTCTGTAGCTTTTCACAATGTCATTTACCAGGGTGGTTTGATTTATTACACATGTGATAGATGGAATGGAATTTGTTGTGGCTGCCCCATCCCTGGAGGGGTTCAAGGCCAGGCTGGATGGGGCTTGGAGCAACCTGGTCTGGTGGGAGGTGTCCCTGCCCAGGGCAGCGGGGTTGGAACTGGATGATCGTTAAGGTCCCTTCCAACTCTAACCCTTCTATGGTTCTGTGAATTTGAGTTGCTCATCATCTGAAGACATTTTTTTGGATTTCATAATAAAATCAAACTTCTGACCAGTTTAGCTTATAGGTACATTCTCCATAAGGTATTTCTCATAAATGATGAGAAAGACTGACCCTCTAAGAGTGTGCAAAGACTGTTGGGGACATCTTTTAATTGCCCTTTTTTTTTTTTGGCTTTCCCTCGGGATTCCTGCGTTACATCTGCTAAAATCGTGATCACCTACTGACTCTTTGGAGCCAAACAAATTGTTCTGACTAGAAATACCTCTTTTCTTTAGCTAGTGACCTGTCTGGCAGCATAAGCCATTTCAAGCTCTTTTTCACTAAAGCGAGGTGTATGTGTATTTTTCTTCCTGCACATGAAGTGATTTTGAATGTAACCTTCATACTGCAACTCAAAATTGGGTCTACAGTACTTTCTCTCAGTTTTCTTACCTCTTTATGCCTTCCTTCCTCCCTCCAAGCTGTCCATGTGAACAGTTGCACAGTGTCTTGTGACCAAGGTAGTAACTTTCCTGTATAAAAATTTAGATTTACTATATTGGTATTATATTGAGAAACTGGAGAAGGTTTATTTTGCATGCTTTTCTGTTTGTAGGTAACAAACTAGCAGCTGTCCCCATTTTTTTAAGTCCTTCTGAAGAGTTGGGTTACTCAGTCCTTTGGGTCAGTTTTACAGAGTTTTACAGATGGAGAGAGGTTGGATCCGAAATAGGATTTGCAGGGCAGTTTATGTATTTATGAATTACGGAGCTCATTTAAAGGCTCTCTTCTTAACTTGATTTAAAGTGCTTGGGTTTCATGCTATGTTTTTTACTTTGTTGTTAGAATTTGCTGTTCTTTATTTCCGAAGTAACAGGCTTCTGTGGCTAAAGAATCATAGCTCAGTAGCCCTGTGATGTAACTCCATCTTTTTTGAAAATGGGGATTCAGTCCTTTGTCAAGATACGCGCTGTATTAAATTTATTTGATTATCATAATTTGATTGATTTTCGTATGTTTTTATTCTAAAGACAGGAAAAAAATCCTCTTTACAATTCAAAGATTTAATGGAGAGTGGGGAGCAAGTGTTTAGTTAGTATTTCATATATTCCTTGCAGTGATTCTTTTCTTGCATTGGGCAGTCAGTGCGAGGTACTTGAAGGCAAATTCTCAGTGAAACAGGTTACAGGGTTACAGAAAAACTTTCCTAAAACAGTTGGGATTTGGTGTGTTCTTAGGTAAGTTATATCATCAGTTGACCTAATTTCTCTTGAAAACGTTGGGTTTTTTTTTTTCTAACGGAGCATTTTTAATTTTGGTTCTTGAACATATGCATCACAAATGTCAATAGGGAAAAGGTTTTCATATAAAATATCCTATTTTAGTTTACAGTCTTAAGACAAAATGATATTTTTCGAGTATCAATATATATGTTTCATTGCCTTAGTAGAGTTTATTAGCTCTTAAGGCTTACCTGGACATGTGTTAGTTACTGTTCTAGACTGTTACTGTTCTTTTCATTGAAGCATAATGGAAGGTTTTTATGTTACTATCTGCCTATAATAGTAGAAATTTTACAGTGTTCAACCATTTTTATATAGCTTGTGATGCTTGTGTAATTAAAATATGGAGTCCACTGTGGATTTGCTCAGTCCTGCTGTTAGTGTTATTCAGGTGGACGTAGCATTTACAACACCAAGTGTGGAGTTCTGTTCCCTGTGCTTAGCTATGCAAAAGAAAATTGGGGCTAATATCTACAGAAAAGAAGTTTATTTCTACACTCGAGATTTACCTTGACCGGTGTGTTGAAAACCTAAGTATTTCGGTCTAATTTTGCCTGAAGATAATCAAGGGAAGTCTTATGTTACTAAAAATAAATATTTATACATTTCAAAGATTTTGGAGATGTTCTAAGAAGTATTTTCTTCTCCTTCCCTCCTCTTCCTCCGTCAAGTAAGGCTTGTTTTCCTCAATTTTACATTGCTGAAGAATTAAAAAATGGTCATGCCTTTGTTTTAATGCATGGAAAATTTTACTTTAAATTTGCAAGTAAACTATTTTTACTGTATGTTATTGTATAACAGATACAAAAGTGAGTCAGGAGCACAGCACAGTAGCTTAGATATTTAAATACAGGTAATGGAGAGACTCAAAATATTTAATTTAGCGCCAGTGGTGCCTCTTCCAGTATGAATATGTTGAACATGATTCATATTTTCCTTATTTGCAGCTTGTTGAGTTGTATACTGGCATACCATTTTTTCTATTCAGATATGTTTTTTCTTTATTTTTTCCTTTCTTCTATTTTTTATCCTTCTGTCTTAATTAATGTACTTATTACTGAGATAATCTGTAGGTATTTATTACTAAGATCTATATCTCTTTCTTTTTATTTCTGTTTGGTTTTCCTTGTGTTGGTTTACTTTTCCCAGTGCTGTTTCTCTACCTCCACTTCCCTTTCATACTTTAATGTCCTAGTCTCCTCTCTATCTATTATTATTCTCTGTCACTTTTTCTCTTCCCAGCAGGGTGTGTGTCGAATGCTCCTCATCTGGGGGCCTCATGGGGCTGTACTAGCTGAGTTATAGCTCAGGTGGTTTGAAATTAGCAAGATTCTGTGCTTCAAATTCCTCTGTAAAATTAAAGCTACAGCACAGAGTCTTGTAAGTATGAAAATACTTTAATTCTAATATTTCAAATGGAATGTCTCCCTTTTGTTATTAATTCAATAACTTGAGCAAGAACATTGTAAAATCCAGGGCTCTAATGGCAGCCCTGAAATCTGCTCCAGAGCTGTTTCAAAAGTTGTCCAACTGGTTTTTTTATGTCACAGAATAACAGAATCTTAATGGTTGGAAGGTACCTTTGAGATCGAGTCCAACCATGCACACACACAAAAAAATCCCCGACAGTCTCGGGCACTAGAGCATGCCCTGAAGTGCCATGTCTACATGTTTCTTAAATACCTCCGGGGATGGTGACTCCACCACCTCCCTGGGGAGGACATGTCATGTCATGTTAGGAGGGAGGTGATTCTGCCCCTCTTCTCCGCTCTGGTGAGACCCCACCTAAAATACTGTGTCCAGCTCTGGAGTCCTCAGCACAGGAAGGACATGGACCTGATGGAACGGGTCCAGCGGAGGGCCATGAAGATGATCAGAGGGATGGAGCACCTCTGCTGTGAGGACAGGCTGAGAGAGTTGGGGTTGTTCAGCCTGGAGAAGAGAAGGCTCTGGGGAGACCTCATAGCAGCCTTCCAGTATCTGAAGGGGCTACAGGAGAGATGAGAAGGGACTCTTTATAGGGAGTGTAGCAATAGGATGAGGGGTAATGGTTTTAAACTGAAAGAGGGGAGATTTAGATTAGATCTTAGCAAGAAATCCTTTCCTGTGAGGGTGGTGAGACACTGGAACAGGTTGCCCAGAGAAGCTGTGGCTGCCCCATCCCTGGAGGGGTTCAAGGCCAGGCCGGATGGGGCTTGGAGCAACCTGGTCTGGTGGGAGGTGTCCCTGCCCAGGGCAGGGGGTTGGAACTCCATGATCTTTAAGGTCCCTTCCAACCCAAACCATTCTATGATTCTGTGTTGTCTTCAGTAACTCAGTAGTTTAGTTTACACTGAAGAAACAGAAGAGGATTTGAAAGGAGTCTCCTTTGTCACAGGCTGTTCCCAAATACCTGTTCCATGTTTTGTAGGAACACTCTTTAATGAGAACATTAATACCAAAACGCAGAGCTCTTGGGAGGACGTGGGAACTGGACAGATGGATCTAGGGTGAGGGCCCATCTCAATGGAGTGTTCAGTATTGGACAATGGCCAGTATTAGATACTGTGGGGAAAATAAAGTCTAACAGGGCACTTAGAATGTCATTTTTTTGCCAGTGTGTCCTTTTTTCCCAGTATGTAGCTTATAGCAAATAAATGGTGAAGGAACATTTGAATGAGTGGGGCAAGAGCGGCGTTATCAGTCCTCTGCAGCTTGTGGGTGGTATCTGTGTGCGTATGTACACGTGCACAGACGTAAAGATGGCTTTGTGGATTGGAAAGCAAAAGCTACCAGTAACTTCTGGAAACAGGCTTCTCCTGCAAACTGGTGTATACAATGCAGTGACTAAAAATTGTAGTTAAAATGAGTAACAATAAACTGTCAGCACAAGAAACTCCTAGCTTTCAGCTCCTGACAGCTATCTAATTATGGACATCCAGAGTACCAACTGCCTGGTGCCTTAAAAGGCTGTTTAAAATCTTTCTAATATTTGAACTTTAAAATTAACGGGTTGGTTTGGGTTTTGGGGTTTTGTTTTAGTTTTTTAATTCTTCATGACGGGAGATTGTGGATTAATTTACAGTCTGGATAGACTTGATTATTCTTTCATTACTGTTTGGCTTTAGCGGTGTTTTACAACTTCAAATTTTTATTCTTTTAAAAGTGTGCTCGTTGTGGTGCCTTCACAAGAACGTTATTTTTTTAAGTTGCAGTAACATCAGACTTGAAAAGGAGCAGGAATTTTCTGGCAGTCTAAAAATTCTAACAATTTTTAATTTCCATTAACTTCTTGCTTATTTTGATTTCTAAGACAACTTTATTAATTTAAGTCAGTTTTACGTAAGTAATTGTTAGAAATTTTTTTATATCTTATTGCTGTCATGTGAGTTAGTTTATCTTGAAAATGCTTCTAGTTAGGTGCCTGAGTAGTGAAAAATAGGCATACTTGGTTGGTTGAAGTATGAGTTGGATTTGTCAGACCCTCCTACATGTTTTGTAAAATCACTTGGGTGTTTGGCTTGATGTTAAAAATTTCACATCCCCCAGGGACCAGGATTCATTAATCACATGTAGGACCTTTGGTATAGGAGAGGGCACCTATGCACAACCAAACTTAGAGAAAGTGAGGAGGATGGTTGGTACAGTGGCCTGACTGCCTCTTAGGAAACCAGTTTTCAGGAGCAACCTCTGGGATCCACCTCAGGTTAGTGGAGGTTAGGAATTCAACCAAGACAATGTTCTCTGACTCTCCTGGGAGACCAGTGCATGCTGCACTCAGTGCTCTTCCAAAAAGGGGTTACAGATGCAGATACGTGATGCGGGTGGGACTTAGAGTTTTCAAGTTGTATCCTGTGAGAAAACTGTGATTTTTTTAAACTCTTTGCACTTCTGGATCAGCTCTTTCTGCTGTTTACCTTTCTTCACTTTTTCTTAGGTGGGAAGGGACAGTGAGGAACAGCTGATCCTCTAAGACTGGGGACCTTCCTGTGGCAAAAAAACAATAAAAATGTGAGTCCACCAAAAAGCTGTAAGGACTATCTACAGAAATTTTAAGCTTTGGGTGATAGCTTCTTCTACACTGGAACTGCCTCACATGGGAATCTTCTATCTTGCCTTTCTTCATTTTTTCCCCTTTTGTTTGTTTTTAGATGGCCAAATTATTTATTTTTCCCCTTTCTCTTCCCTGTCTCAATCGCCATTTCAGCTGCAGCATTTTTTTTTTGATCATTTTAAGTTTTAGGCTTTTTCTTGTTTGTTTCTTTTTTCCAGTTATTGGTCTTGATGATATTATGGATGAAGAAGGAGTTAAAGAAAGTGGTAACGACACCATCGATGAAGATGAGCTTGTTTTACCTAACAGGAATTTGAGGAGCCGCTGTGAAGAAACATCAGTCACATCACCAAGAAAATCGCCACGTTTAATGGCACAAGGTGATAATTCAATAGATTATGTGGTTTTGCACATTTCAAGTCAACCGAATTTTTATAAACCCACATCCTCAACATCTGTAGACTTAAAGTAAAGCTTTGCTATTTATTTGTGTGAATTTAAGTACAGATGTTTCCTTTTCTATAAACTGGAGCTAGAAGTTGACATCCATAGAGTACTACTCAGTTTGAATTCCGCTTTGTTAAATATTTGATATTATCCTTAAGGACCACAGACCATAAACTCATTTTTTGAGATTTTGATCCTTTTACCTGCATCAGATTAGCACGGTGGTTCTTTGCCAACAAAAGTACGTTGTATCTGCAAACAGCATAGGAATAGTAGGTTATCATGGCTCTTTTAATTCTACTGATTTTTTTTTGTGCTTTTTTTTAAAATTCAAGTTGTAGTAATTGCAGTTGTAAAGTCTTATCAAAATATCTGAATATGCTTAATAAGTATCTTAATAATTTAATTCTCTGTGGTAGCTAACTGGTTATGGTCAGGGTTTTTCTAACTCGTTGAACTGGTGCAGTTATTGACAGCTCTGCTTTTTTCCCCGTATAGATTAGGCTGAGTTAAAATGATGAAACTACTCGATAGGGAAGTCAAAATTTAGACAAGAACCTGTAGTACAAAGCTGGTGAATACACTTTAAAAAGGCATTGGAATGGTTTCTTGTTTAGAAAATGGGAGAGGTGTTGTCTTAGTGAGAATGTGACTGCGTCTCAGACTCCTGTTGTGTTCTCTAAAAGCTTTGTAAACTTCATGGCTATACTGAAGTCATAACTCACTTGTGCAATTTTTACTTGAGGTAAAAAAAAAAATAATCAAGTGGTAGAAAAGTAGAGTGGGTTTTGATTGTCTTTTTATAATCGCTTCTGGTTTATATATAATTCAGCATTCTCATAGCCATTAGAATAATGCGATTTTACAGCCAAACTGGGGCAGTGCAAAATTGAAATGCAGGTAACGTAGAACTTCTTCAAGTAAAAAGCTGACGGGTTTTTTTGTTTGTTCTAAGTTCTCTCTGCTTGTCCAATAAGTTAAATGAAGCTAAATCAGCTCTATGTGTTGTGTTTGGGAAGAGGAGGATGCGTTGTACCTAAGACATTTTCTCTTTCCCTTCCTAGAACCGGTTCGGAGTCTGCGCCAGAGCACGCTTGCCAAGCGTTCGAATGTGGCCCCTCTTGTTAGTACCAAGAAATCATCTGTGAAAAGTGGATCTGCTCCAAAAACTGGACAGAAACAAGAGAGAAGTCCAGCTAAAGAGGCGGATGTCGCTGCGCCCTTGAAAATAGAGCAACCTAAAGAAGTTAGGCGTAGTACGAGACGGTCGGGACAGGCAGAAGGAACAACAACAGCAGTGACAGCATCCCAAAGTGATACAAAATGTCTTCCTGGTCCCGAAGAGGTGAACGAAATAAAGTCTGAAACCCTTAACGAGGCAAAAGTTGAGGAAACATCCCAAGTCTTAAGTTGTGCTAACTTAGCAGGAGCCAGCTCTCCTTCTCCTGGAGAAACAAAGGATATAACAGAGGTTTCCACAAAGACTGAATCTGGGAAGGTTGAGTCAGTTTGTTCAGTATCTGCAGATACTGAAATTACTGCAGTTAAAAATGAAGCAAATGATGTGATTGATTCAATGGGCTCTGAAACTTCTTCAGAAGAAAAGACTGATCAAACAGAGGAATCGGAGACGAAAGCAGAAGAGCAGGATCAAAGTGGGGTCCCTGGAAAAGCTAACGATTCATCTAGTGTTTCTGTGAATCCAAGTGAAATTTGTGAGACCATTTCAAATTTGTCCAGCCCTATAGAAAAGGGGGTTGACTGTAGTTTAGGTTCCCACAATGTAGAAATTCCTGATGCAAATACCTTGTCGGTAACAGAATGTGTGACAGAACCTGTAGATGATGACAAGGGGGTGGAGAAAACTGTAACCTCATCTGAGAAACTATTGGACAGTACAGAGTTTGATAATAAGGACTTGAAAAGTGAAGAGTTTACTTCTCCTGACCCAGGAAATAGCATTTTAGATAGCACTGTTCTTGACCAAAAAAGCCAAGAGGTACAGCAGATCGTCAGTACTAAAGTAGAAGGCCCTGAGGCATCAAAATTTCAGGATGATGATAAACAAATTAGTGTTTCATCAAAATGTGAAAAGAATATTAGGCCTCGGCATAGTAAATCTGTAATACAGAATAAGCAAAATCTGACTGCAGGTACTCGACAGAAATCGGGTGCAGTGCAACAAGAAATAACACGTTCGAAAACAAGAGCTGGTCTTACTGTTTCAGGTCTTCACAGTCCATCTTCAGCAAGTCTGAAGCGGAATGCAGATGAGCAAGAGAGTCATCAGCATCCAAATAACCCAGTTAAAATTAGGAAGAAGCAGTCTGATCTGGGTTTCAAAGCAAGGAGCTGTGTTTCGGGGGCGAGCGGAAAAAAGCAGACCAACATGATGCTGAAGAAAATACCCCGTGTCCAGGCTTCTGGGCAAGTACATAAGTCATCAATTCAAAAAGCAAGTGAGAAATCTCCTACTCATCAAAGCTCTTCTAGAGACACTCACCACTCCGTGCATCCGTTATCAGGGCATGTTTCAAATCTTGGGCAGAAAGCCCCGGGTCAGAAACACCAGCTTGCAACTGCCCTAAAAACAAATAGCTCCGCAAAGGAAGAGGCAGAGCCCAAAGATCCCCCTGTTACAGAACATCTGAAGGAGGAGGATAAAGAAAAAAACAAATCAAAAAGAATTGATAAGAATCTCCAACCTCGCCAGAGAAGAAGTAGCAGAAGTCTTTCGCTCGATGAACCTCCGTTGTTCATCCCAGACAACATTTCAACTGTTAAACGGGAAGGCTTGGAACATACCTCTGCTAGTGAAAGCAAATCTGTTTGGGTGCCCAACAAGCAGTGTGGCTTTTGCAAAAAGCCACATGGCAACAGGTGTGTGTGTGGCTTTGTGCCTGAGGAATTTATTATTGGTTCCAGAAGATATTATTATTTTTTCCTCTCTTACCAAATGTTTCATACTGCTGGTGCCAAAAGGAGAAGGCAGAGCCTTATAGTCAAAGCACGTCTGTTATACTGTCAATTAGTTTCCTTTGTACTCATATACTTCTTTTTTTTGTCTGTAGTTAACTAGAACATTAGAAACTAGCTTGGTCAAATATTTTTACTAGAAATATTTTATTATATGAATGCTGTTTTTGAGGAATGTGAAATTCTGCTATGCTGTTAAAATAAGTACTTTAACCTTGACTTTTTTTTTGTTCATAGCAAAGGAATGAGATTAAGTTGTCTGTGTTTCAGATTGTCATTTCCTTCTTTCCAGAGAAAGATGAAGAATTGCCATCAACCAAAAAAAGTCAAATAGTTGTTTGCATGTGACTTTTTTTTTTCCTAGTAGAAGAGGGATTCTAATACCTGGAGATTCAGAGGGGTTTTTTATGACTTGTATTATCATTGCTGTAAGGCTTTCATGTAACAGGAGTAATGGAGGAGTTGGTGGCAGGGGCGAGAGCATCAGTCTCAAAAAAACCCCCATAAAACTTCAATGTGGGAATATCTGAAATTGCCTTAGACTAAACCTAATAATAAGGTTGCATCTGAAGTTAATAATGTCCCTTTGTGACAAAAGTTATTCTTCTGCACCGTAAGTGAACTGAAAAAGGCCATTGGGTTCCACTAATGAACTGTCAATCCAAGAAAAAGAATTCCTTTATTACCTCTTCTTATTTTCTGGATTTAATAGTGAAGTACTTTTTCATAATTTCAGTGTTAACTGCCAGCCTTCCTTTTTTTTTTAAATTCGTTTCTAATTAGTCCTTTGCTTATGTGAATTTGTCCAGCCCTATAGAAAAGGGGGTTGATTGTAGTTTAGGTTCCCACAATGTAGAAATTCCTGATGCAAATACCTTGTCGGTAACAGAATGTGTGACAGAACCTGTAGATGATGACAAGGGGGTGGAGAAAACTGTAACCTCATCTGAGAAACTATTGGACAGTACAGAGTTTGATAATAAGGACTTGAAAAGTGAAGAGTTTACTTCTCCTGACCCAGGAAATAGCATTTTAGATAGCACTGTTCTTGACCAAAAAAGCCAAGAGGTACAGCAGATCGTCAGTACTAAAGTAGAAGGCCCTGAGGCATCAAAATTTCAGGATGATGATAAACAAATTAGTGTTTCATCAAAATGTGAAAAGAATATTAGGCCTCGGCATAGTAAATCTGTAATACAGAATAAGCAAAATCTGACTGCAGGTACTCGACAGAAATCGGGTGCAGTGCAACAAGAAATAACACGTTCGAAAACAAGAGCTGGTCTTACTGTTTCAGGTCTTCACAGTCCATCTTCAGCAAGTCTGAAGCGGAATGCAGATGAGCAAGAGAGTCATCAGCATCCAAATAACCCAGTTAAAATTAGGAAGAAGCAGTCTGATCTGGGTTTCAAAGCAAGGAGCTGTGTTTCGGGGGCGAGCGGAAAAAAGCAGACCAACATGATGCTGAAGAAAATACCCCGTGTCCAGGCTTCTGGGCAAGTACATAAGTCATCAATTCAAAAAGCAAGTGAGAAATCTCCTACTCATCAAAGCTCTTCTAGAGACACTCACCACTCCGTGCATCCGTTATCAGGGCATGTTTCAAATCTTGGGCAGAAAGCCCCGGGTCAGAAACACCAGCTTGCAACTGCCCTAAAAACAAATAGCTCCGCAAAGGAAGAGGCAGAGCCCAAAGATCCCCCTGTTACAGAACATCTGAAGGAGGAGGATAAAGAAAAAAACAAATCAAAAAGAATTGATAAGAATCTCCAACCTCGCCAGAGAAGAAGTAGCAGAAGTCTTTCGCTCGATGAACCTCCGTTGTTCATCCCAGACAACATTTCAACTGTTAAACGGGAAGGCTTGGAACATACCTCTGCTAGTGAAAGCAAATCTGTTTGGGTGCCCAACAAGCAGTGTGGCTTTTGCAAAAAGCCACATGGCAACAGGTGTGTGTGTGGCTTTGTGCCTGAGGAATTTATTATTGGTTCCAGAAGATATTATTATTTTTTCCTCTCTTACCAAATGTTTCATACTGCTGGTGCCAAAAGGAGAAGGCAGAGCCTTATAGTCAAAGCACGTCTGTTATACTGTCAATTAGTTTCCTTTGTACTCATATACTTCTTTTTTTTGTCTGTAGTTAACTAGAACATTAGAAACTAGCTTGGTCAAATATTTTTACTAGAAATATTTTATTATATGAATGCTGTTTTTGAGGAATGTGAAATTCTGCTATGCTGTTAAAATAAGTACTTTAACCTTGACTTTTTTTTTGTTCATAGCAAAGGAATGAGATTAAGTTGTCTGTGTTTCAGATTGTCATTTCCTTCTTTCCAGAGAAAGATGAAGAATTGCCATCAACCAAAAAAAGTCAAATAGTTGTTTGCATGTGACTTTTTTTTTTCCTAGTAGAAGAGGGATTCTAATACCTGGAGATTCAGAGGGGTTTTTTATGACTTGTATTATCATTGCTGTAAGGCTTTCATGTAACAGGAGTAATGGAGGAGTTGGTGGCAGGGGCGAGAGCATCAGTCTCAAAAAAACCCCCATAAAACTTCAATGTGGGAATATCTGAAATTGCCTTAGACTAAACCTAATAATAAGGTTGCATCTGAAGTTAATAATGTCCCTTTGTGACAAAAGTTATTCTTCTGCACCGTAAGTGAACTGAAAAAGGCCATTGGGTTCCACTAATGAACTGTCAATCCAAGAAAAAGAATTCCTTTATTACCTCTTCTTATTTTCTGGATTTAATAGTGAAGTACTTTTTCATAATTTCAGTGTTAACTGCCAGCCTTCCTTTTTTTTTTAAATTCGTTTCTAATTAGTCCTTTGCTTATGTGAAAGAAACTTGTAATTTTCTGTGAGTGTGCTTTAGAACTCTGTGTATCAAAGTGAAATACGGAACAATTACCTTTGGTACCTGAGGTTTTCATGGCATTAATTTGTATCTAAGAAGAGCCCTTGTGAGTTTTATTGACTTATATCATATTAGAAAAACAAATACATAAATCTGTTTGCTGGGCAGCTCTCATAACTGCAGCAATCTAGCTTATTAAAAGAATTGACACTAGGCTTGCCCTGCCTCCTTGGTGAGAATTCCCTGATTGAAGGGCCACTCACACTTAGTACTATGGCTTTTGTTTGGTTGCTTTGGTTTTCTAGCCTATTAAAAGAATTGACACTAGGCTTGCTCTGCCTCCTTGGTGAGAATTCCCTGATTGAAGGGCCACTCACACTTAGTACCATGGTTTTTATTTGGTTGGTTTGGTTTTTTAAGTATTTTAATGTTAGGACTTTACCACTTGTGCCTCTATAATAGTGTTTCATTTTATGCAGTGTACATTTCCTCAGTTTTTATCGTCTCATGTATTACTGCAATGGTAGAAGTACATGGGTAGCCTGTACTTCAATGAATTGTTTAAATTCAGAAAGGCTGCTTTCTAGTACGAAAATGCTTATGTGGATATTTTTAAAGCAAAATATGCATATTGGGAATTTAAACTGCTTGATATCTGTCAAAAATCTAGCTTTGAGTTGAACTCTTCCTATTTTCTTTGTATTTTTGCTAACATTATAAACATTTGATGAGTTTTCTTGTCCTGAATGTCTTGTTGCAGTTCAGGAAATCTTGATTTTTTTTTAGTACTAAATGGATATAAGGAAAATGAGTTTTCTTGTCCTGAATGTCTTGTTGCAGTTCAGGAAATCTTGATTTTTTTAATACTAAATGGATATAAGCAATACTGGGAAGATGCAGCAGTGAGGCAGAACTAAATATTTTTAATTTAGTTTATAAAGTCGAAGTAATGCTTCGGATGATATACATACTGTGCATTGATATAGGATTAAATGGAAAAAAACAGTTTTGCATTGCTAGTTTGCTGCTGCGAGAAGAATAATATTAGCATTGATATAGGATTAAATGGAAAAAAACAATTTTGCATCGCTAGTTCTTGCTGCTGGTAGAAGAATAATATAATGCATGGAGCTGAGCCCATGAATTGCCATGATGTTTAGTACATATGCACAGAATTTGTGTATATAGAACGTGACTGAGACACACTGGAGTGAGGAGGCTGCAGTATCGAGCCCCGTGCCTAATAACAGAAGATTTAAGACTATCAGGCCAGTGCTTTTTATCATTAGTACTCTAAAAAAATGACATTTTTATTTGTTTGGATTACTTTATTTTGTTGTCGTATGCTGCAAATAAGAACTCTTAAACCTTTCAGATTCATGTGATGTCACCAAGATACAAGAGGAAGCAAAACTCATTTCTTAATGCCTTGGCATTTTTGTACTTTATTAATTATTAGATCAAGAAAACATTTTCAGTACAGTGGAAGGAAAAAGAAAAAGCTTAACAAATTTCACTTTTATCATTTGGAAAAGCATTGAAACTATCGAAAATTAACTATAGTGATAAGGGTTTTTTTTTTTCATTTTGGATTGCTTTTCAAGGAATTTTTTTTCCCTTTTGAAATAGGCTAGCTGGCCAACCTGTTTCCTTTCCCTCCTCTTCATTATATAGGAGAAAAGGAGAAAGTGTGAGACACAATTATTGTCAGAAGACAGTAAAAGGCAGAGCTTAGATCTGAAACAGTATCTGTGTTTACACCCTGCTCTGTTATTCTTTAAACTTTGGAAATTTTTGTCAGTGTGGTGCTACTACTCACTTGTAGAAAAAGAAATTGAACTGAAATTGCAGCCCAGCGTTGGGAAATAATGTGCTAAAAGCTTTGCAGTATGTCATGTGAATGAAACACTTGTAGCATTTGGGCTGCAAAAATGGAGTCACTTGAACCTTTTTGTATTCCCTGCAATGAATGCAAAGCCACTAACTTGTTGTTGATGTAATACTAAGTTTGGAAAATTGATTCAGGTTGAAGATGATGGGTGAGGATTGTTTCATCAGTCTTAGTTTGTGTGCAGACTCCCCAAAGGGTGATGCTTACCTGGGCCTTCCACAGCCCCAGAGTCATCTCACTGTGCCCACTAGGAGAACAGTAGAAGAAGGTTAGATGGTACTTGCATTTTGTTTTATTTTAGAATTGGCACCTGACAAATGGGGTCAATTGATATCTGTAGGAATACAGGCAATAATTTGCTGACCACATTTAAAATCAAAGTATGCTTCCCTTGCGCTGCAAATACAACTGATTTGGCTGGGAAAGGAGGAATTTTCTCTTACAAACATGCAGCTTTCATGATCAAAAAACTTAAGTTATAATGTGTCTTGCTTTACGTGAGGCATGCCTCTTTTTTTTCTCTTAAAAGATTGTCATTCTTTGGCACCTGAGCTTTGACCAGTGACTGTTCATGCTCTGTTTTCCACTTGTCTCGGTGCTCATAAACTGGAACAACCATAGCTGGTCTGTATTTTATATCTTCATTTCCCCAGAGGGTGGGTGGTCAGTGTTTGGCTTTAGGACTAATTGTTTCAGTCAGTTTGCTTGATGAATTGTGTCAGTTCCTGTGCAGAGATTTACCCGTGCAACAGAACTAAAAAATAATTGTTTGTTCATATGAACAAAAAATAAATGTTTAATTCCTTTGCATAGAGCTAGATGAAGTGGTAGCTCTGCTGACATTCAGAAATCTGCTGACGTAAGATTTCTTTGTGCATCCTTGTAAAGGATGTAAAGGCTTATATTATAAATTTGTCCAATTTTCACTCTAGATCTTCAAGTTCTCTGCAGGCTGGAGGGCTGAACTC